CTCTGTCTTCTAAACCAAGATGGCTGGCAGCTGCTGATTCAGCAACATTTTATCCAGGGCCTTGTGCTAGGTAGACCTGGGGGCAGCCTCTGTCTGTAGCCTGCTCCCAGGACGGCCGTGGCCATGTGGATCCTCCTCTCCCTCCTTCCCAGGGCAACTCAAGAGTTCCACGCACAACTCATTTATCCCCCAGTTATGAACTTGTTCACACTCTCCTTATTTTTTCATTAAAAAAAAATTTTTTTCTTTATTGATTTTAGAGAAAGAGGAAGGGAGAGGGAGAGAGAGAGATAGAAACATCAATGAGAGAGAACATCGATTGGCCGCCTCTCGCATGCCCCCCACTGGGGGTTTGGCACACAACCTGGGCATGTGCCCTGACTGGGAATCAAACGGGTGACCTCCTGGTGCCTGGGTCCATGCTCAACCACTGAGCCACACCAGCCAGCAACGCTCTCCCTTTTCCATTAACACACCCATTTACTTGCTCAGTCAATCCTTCTGAGACAGGTTTAGCAATAAGTCTGGGAATAGATTGGCTTTATGCAAACACAGAGGCAGAATGACAGTGGGCGCAGGGACCATGTGCTCAGGTGGATTTCCCCAAAGTCTGAGCTGGAGAGAGTCTAACAAAGATCAGCCCCCTTGTTGAATAATTGAGACAGGGGTGGCCCATAGAGGCCCCAAGTGGCTCCAGGCCACTGGGTAAAAGAATAAGTAGGCCACTGCTTGCGGGGCACCTACGCATCGTGCCCGTCAGCTCTCCCAGTCCTGTGCACAGAGCTGGAACATCATGTTTTCCAGTTCTGACTGGTGACACTGGGGCTGGGTTAACAACACAAGAACCAAGGCAGGGCAATGTTCTTAGGGACCTGAACATGGATTCAGAAGGAGTTACCCAACCAGGGCTGGAAGGGTCTTCCCTTAAGAGATCTCCAAACCCTTTACTTTACAGCCATGGACATTGGAGCTCAAGGAGCCTGTTCATAAGTGGGCTGGGCGGCAGCCCCCCAAACCCAAACCATAATGTCCAGCCTCGTGGCCCTTGGCTATACCCACTGCTCAGCCATCCTAGGTTCAAATACAAGGGATACTCCATTTTCCTAAGGAGAAAACATTTTAGGAATGTTTTCCCCGGTAAAGCTAAGAAAACAAACAAATACATGTTTTAGCCCTGGCCCATGTGGCTCAGTTGGTTGAGCGTTGTCCCATGCACCGAAAGGTCACCAGATTGATTCCCGGTAAGGGCATATGCCCAGGTTGTGGGCTCTATCCCTGGTCAGGGTGCATGTGGGAGGCAGTAGATCAATGTGTCTCTCTCACATTGATGTTTCTCTGTTGCTCTCTCCCCCCACCCCTCTCTCAAATCAATAAAAACATATTTTAAAAAAAGATTTCTGTACTTTATTAAAAAAAAATGTTTTAGGGCTAGAAGTGAATTAATCAAATGTTTACTTAAGTAATGTGTTCAAATGAAATTGTTTCACTTAATCTACTATTTTAGAAAACGTGCTCTTTCCACGTATAGATTAGGGAACATTTTTATGCAAATTCTTCACCCTGCTGACTGGTGGAGGTAATACTGGGCTAATGTGTCTTGCTAACACTTTTGTTTGCAGTAAGAACTGAGAAAGCACCCTGTTAGAATGAAGACGGTCAGGACAGGAGTATGGCACACCCTCCTTTCCTGAGGAGTCGTTCTGGGAAACAGTCTCACCTTAGAGTCAGGCCCAGAAGGTGGTGTTGAACACCTACAGTGTCACGCAGCTCCTGGGTGGTCAAGTGTGGCTGCCACCACTTGGGCTCCCTCACCTGCCAAAGGCCTCACTATTGCCAAGAGACAAGTGAGGGACCCTGTTTTTCAAGGTGACTGAACACTATGACTGAAGACCCTAGCTGTATCAAGAAGTGGATCTAATGGTCATCATTCAGCCAGAATCTACTGAGCATTTGCCATTCTGGGCCCCAAGACAGATACAAGATAAACCAAAATGTATGTGGTGTGTCCCAGGATGGAGGGATGATGAGGAATTGGGGAGCATAGTGTAAGAAAGGAGAAGTGGCAGGAGGCAGTGCCTACTTACTGAGGTCTCGCAATATACCAGATATTTCACAAGCATCATCTCTGACCCTCATGGGTAGGAGTTATTACTCATCCCAACCCCTCTTTGCCTTAAGCCAATAGTGTGTGTTAGGCTAATAAGTTAACCTTCTTAGACCTCAATTTCCTCCTCTGTAAATGGAGAACACCTATTACATATGATTGTTGGGAGGACTAAGTTCCGTGCTAAGCACATTGCTTAGAATAGAAAGCCCTCAGTCAATGTTTGCTCTGATCATTATTAGAACATAGGAGGAAGCTGAGGTTCAGAGAAGAGCAGTGACTAGTCCAGGGCCACACAGCCAGAGGGAGGAAGAGCCAACCCATACCCTCTCTTCCACTTTGTAACCTGCAGTACAGAAAGGGTTGAAGTGGAAACTTTGCCCTTCACAGCAGGTGCCTTGACTTGGCTGCCCTCTCTGTTCTGAAGAGGCAAGGCCAGCTGTCCAGTGCAGGATAACCCCAGGTCACCTGCAGCTCTGTACACAGCCAGCCCACAAAGGGCACTTGGAGAGAGGGACGACTGCTGTTTTCCTCTGAGGCCCAGAGAGCTGGGCTGTGAGCCCCTCCTGTCGCATCTGAGGCCTTGGGCCACTACCTTTCTCTTTCTGAGTTTCCGTTTCCTTATCTGGAAAGGGGTATACTATGGTTTTTCTGCCTCATGTTGTGGGCATTGAGTGAGTTAGAGGCTGGGGAGTGGTTTTTCACACTACTCTATTGTGCTAGCATAATCATCATTAAGACCGGTGATTTGAGGGTGGGGTGAATATTATAACTTAATGGGGAGGGACTAAAGGGAGGTAGAATTCAATTCAACATAAAGATGAACTTTCTCAGAGCTCTGGCCCTAGGAGTAGAAGGAAGTGGGTGAGTGAGTGACTGTCAATTGTGGGGAAGCAGAGGGGGCTCCTGCCATGGGGTAGGAGTAAGAGCTGCTTAGGTGAGACAAGTTCCCCTCCCTGTGCTCTCCTCTTCTCTCCTTCCCTGCTGAGCAGAGGGTACCTAGAGGTCTTTCCACCTGAGGCGGTGCTGTGAGCAGGTGGCTGAACCAGAACTCAGAAGGTCTTGTTCTCTACTCAACTCTGACACTAGCTTGCCGTGCACCTCTGAGCCACCCTGTGGGCCTCACTCTCCCTGTTATCCCACTCATAAATAAGTAAAGCAAATGCAGTTTGTTAATTGTGATAATGTGGCTATGAAAAGAATTATTCTCTTCCAAGACTTTGGCCAAGGAACTAGGTCAATGATAAAGAGAAAGCCTTATAATTTGTGGAATTACAGGTTAGAATTGGGAGGGACCTCGGCATGAATCTAGAATCTGCACAGGTAATACATGTGGGGACTCTGCTTTATGGCTTACAAAGCATTTCCTTTAGCTTTGTCTTGTTTGATCCTCACAATAATACCCCAAATCGACAGGTGAACATGCGTCACTCATTCAACCTCACATGGGTCTAGAGCACGGACTGGAGGTGGGAGAGAGGTGGTTCTGGTTTCCTCTGGCTCTCTACTCCTCAGTTTTCTTACTGTTAAAAAGGAAGATTAAATATTCATCATAGGGTCGTGGTGAAAATTAAATGGAAGAGCTTAGTACAGAAACGGATGCAAAGTAGGCGCTGAATAAGTGTGCTGAATAAAGAAAAACCAAAGCACACTAGGAAACTGCAGGCCTGGGCTTCTGGCTCCTACTTCAGTGCTCTTTGCCCTCCACTAAGCGCTTTTGTTCCATAACTTCCCTTGTTCAGGTCACAGCTGAGGCACCCCAGGTTAAAAGAGTGAGGTGCTCATCAAACAACAAGTGTTGGCGAGGGTGTGGAGAAAAGGGGACTCTAATACACTGCTGGTGGGAATGCAGACTGGTGCAGCCACTATGGAAAACAATATGGTGTTACCTCAAAAAATTAAAAATTGAACTTCCATTTGACCCAGTGATCCCACTGCTAGGAATATACCCTAAGAAGCCTGAAACACCAATCAGGAAGAATATATGTACCCCCATGTTCATAGCAGCACTATTTACAATAGCTAAGATCTGGAAACAGCCCAAATGTCCATCAGTGGACGAATGGATAAAAAAGCTGTGGTACATGTACACAATGGAGTACTATGCAGCGGTAAGAAAGAAAGATCTCTTATCCTTTGAGACGACATGGAGGGACCTGGAAAGTATTATCCTAAGTGAAAGAAGCCAAGCAGAAAAAGACAAATACCACATGATCTCACTTATATACGGAATATAACGAACATAACAGTCTGAGGAATACAGTAGACCCAGAAACATGGAAGTAGGGTACAGACTGACATCCCTCAGAAGAGCCGGGGGGGGGGGGAGGGGGAATAAACCACAGAACTTATATGCATGTATGCATGACCAATGGACATGGACAACTAAGCCGAGGACGGGGCGGAGGTGGGGTGGGGTGAGGGGTGCCAATGGGGTAAAAAGGTAAAATATCTGTAACAAAAAAATAAATAAAAAATTTATATATAAAAAAAAAGAGTGAGGTGCGCATTAGGAGGCTACTCTAAGTAGGCAGCAAGAGGCAGCTTGGACTCAGGTAACCTGAAAGAGTTCATCACTGCCCTGGGGTCAAGTGCACCAGTTGCAAAAGAGAACAGCTTTCCCGAACTGGCCCTATGAGCTGATGGAGGAGGAGCCAGGCTCTTGCTCAGGCGGCGGGGAGTGCTGAAATGATAGGCAGAAGGCTGGCAGGTCTGTCCCAGTGTAGAGAGGTCACCTGATACAGACTTTGGAGCCCAAGACCTGAGATTGGCCTAAAACAGTTGGTGTGTTTTTGACCTACCAACTGAGCCTTAGCATCCTGTCACACAGCCGACACCTCCAGACGTTAAAAATAACAGTGTAGAAACAGTGCTGGGGTAGTCTGCCGGCATCAGCATGCAAGTGGAAGCAGCCATGCAGGTGCTAACCAAGCGCTATCCCAAGAACTGCCTGCGGACTGTCATGGACCAGTACTCGGCCACGGTGCACAATATGGAGCAGGTGGTGATGTTCCCCAGCCTTCTGCGGGACATGCAGCCACACGCACATGAGCACCAGGCCCAGGCTGGGGCCCCCAGTCTCTACAACTACTTCACCATGCTCAAGGCTATCTGTGTGGACATGGACCAGGGGCTGCAGCCCTGGGAGGAGTGGCAGGTCAGGATGGCAGGCTATAAAGGCAATGAAGCTGTGGAGACGGAAGAGGGCAAGGAGGTCTTGGGGCAGCTGAACCTAGAAGCCCAGTTCCACTTGCACCTCTCCAGACTTCATCACATCCTCACCCACCTTACCCTGAAAGCCAAGGAGGTGACAAGGATATACCAGGAGATAACAGGACAGGCCATGTAGGCCTCGGACTCTAGGGAAGGTAATGGTCGCCACGCCAGTGGGTGTCAGAGTCCACTGAGGGACATTCCAGGGGAGCTTGGGGAGCAGTGGTGTGACCCAGTGGGAGAGGGAGAGCCCAAGTCTCAGACAGAGCCATCTTTGCTCACTTCAGGGTTCTGGGACCAAAACCTGGGAAGGCCCAAGGCCAGGCCTGCCTTACTCTCCTTACCCAGAATTGGTGAGTAATGGTCATGACTGTTATGGACACAGAGGGAAAAGTGGCCTGTATGTGCATGCCTTATGTACACACGTATGTGATTGTGCATGTCAGCATTTGTTAGTAAGTATGGGTATTTCCGCAGGTAAATCGTGAATTCTATGTGTGTTTGTGGCATTGCTTCTCAGTATTTTTTTTCAAGTCACAGAACATGAAAATTTATATTATATGTCACATGGAAGTACCTAGGTGAGGCTGCTCTCAGGGTTCCTGCAGTTGGCAGGGGTGCTCTGGCCACCCCGGGTTGCAGCCAGCCAAGTGGAAAGCCAGAGGACTGATGTCTTGGCGTCTAATTGGTTCCAGGCACACCCGTGCCTGTTGGGAAGCCCTGTTGTGAAGACACAAACGTGGAGTCTGAGTCCTTGTGTCTATGCACAGAGGGGCTAGGGTTGTAAGGTGTGGATGGGCAGCAAGGTAGACAAACAGCTGGTGGCACCAGGTAAGTGATGGGAAGTAGACCTGGCACAGTTGTAGATGGGTTGCTCCTGGGTAAAAATTGGGAGAAATTTGGCCACACCACCTGCCAGCCCTGCTCTCGTAAACTGGCTTCATCCGTGATAAACCATGTTCAAGTCCATAGGAATCTTCAAAACCACAGATGTAGGTATAATGAGGACTTTTATCCCCATTTTACAAATAAGGAAATTAAAGCCAGAGGTGAAATGACTCACTGAAAGTCACATAATTAGAGGACAGAAGCAAGACTGGCCCCAACTTTGAGCTGGGTGTCCTTTTCATCACACCCAATCTTGGTCACATGTGTTATCTTCCAAATCTGCCCGAAGGCCACTCTGAATGATGGGATTGAACAGGGACTCGAACACACTGTCTATGGAGAGCTCTGCTCAGGTATTTCCTCAGCCATTTTTTTCTTCTGCTACTTCAAATCCAAATCCAAACTTCGGCCTTGCTTCACTCTCCCCTCAAGCTCCCTGGGTCGCCTTTCAGAGGTTCTTGAATATAAGAAATGGGTCAACAGCTCTGAGGTCAAGTTCTGGTTCCACCACTAAAGAGCTGTGAGGCCACCTCACTTCTCTGGGTTTGTTTCTTCACTGAATAACAGTAGTAGCGAAAATAACAACAGACATTTGAATAGTTTTATACCACTTGCATATTAACTATCTAAAGGAATTATTATCCCCTTTTACAGATGAAAAAACTGGAGGCCTGGGAAGTAAAATGAGTGCAAGGTTATTCAGGAAATGGCAGAGCCGAGATATGAATGAACCCTGGCCTAACTAGTGTCTAATTCCTTTCCTCTATGCTAGTGAATTTCTTTAGCACCTTAGAATTCTGCAGCCTGGGCTGGAGGTGGGAATTGGGGGTGTCTGAGTGGATAGAACACTCACTCCTTGACCAACCCCAAACTGCTTCACAAACAAACGCAGCAATTCCACACCACACTACTGATTTTCGTGGTACAGAAGTTAAAAAATCCCAGGCTCTTGTCGTGGCTCTGCATGACCCCAGATAATTTATCTTTTTTTCAATGCTCACCTGAAGATTTTTTTTTTTAGAGATAGAAACATCGAAGTGAGAAACATCAGCCGGCTGCCTTCTGCACGTCCCCTACTAGGGATCAAGCCAGAAACCTGGGCATGTGCCCTGACTGGGAATTAAACCAGGACCTCTCAGTCCATGGGACGATGCTCAATCCACTGAGCCACACCAGCGGGGCTCATTGACTTATAGAGAGAGAGGAAGGGAGAGAAACATTGGAGGTGAGAGAAACATTGATTGGTTGCCTCCCGTTCTCAACCTGACGGGGACAGAACCCACAACCCAGGTATGTGCTCTGACTGGGAATCGAATCTGTGACCTTCCAGTGTATGGGACAACACTCCAACCAACTGAGCCATACCAGCCCGTGCTAGCCTATTTTTCTGCATCAGTTTCCCTGTTAGTAAAATGTAGAGGTGAAACTAGAAGAGTTATTACAGTGCTGATAGCCTGATTCTTCTTACAGTGCTGACACTTCCAGACTTCTACAGCAACACATGAGCTTTCTCATGCTTTTTCCTATTTCAGTAGGAATATGATAGTACCTTAGTGGAATGGATTTATACTGACTTGGTTTTTTAACATTTCTGTACTCCACAGATCCCTATACATGACAGAAGGCAGACTCTGTGATGAGGACATGCAGTTCACTAGCCTTGATGATGAGACCAGGAAGGCTAGACCGGCAGCTGAAATGAGGCAACGTGGTTTTCTGGGATGCGTCACTACTGCCCTTTGAACAATTCATGGACTCGTCCCTGGGTCACCTTTAAGATGACTTGTTGCTACTCACAACTCCCCCTCGCTCCTTTTACCACCTGAAATAGTGGTCAGTGGTTCACGAGGGACTAGATGTTACCTAGCTGGTGTGGTTGGTAGGAGGAGCATTGGTTTTAGCATCTGACCAACTCTTGGCCGTCTTTCACTGTATGATCTTGGGCAACTTATTTAACCAGATGGAACCTAAATTTCATCATCTATAAAATGGGGATAGTATTGCCTATCTCACGGGTTGTTCTAGAAATTAAACACAATCAAAAGCACCTGGCATGTTAAGTGCTATTGTTTTACAGACTCATTTCTTTCCTCCCGCTCTCACCTTGTATTTGCTCCAGCCTGTGTTTACACTCCAGAACAGAGGTAGCACAGTCCCTTGGGATGAGTGGTTCACTCTTGTACCTGCCAAGCACAGATGAACTAGAACCCTATCTAGTGCAGTAGCAATTTAAAATACCCTGTATTTGTACACATCTTTATAAATTTCTAATGTACTTTCTCAGACATGATTTTATATTCAACAAATGGGACTCAAGAGAACAGAGATGGCTTCTGATTTTTCCCAGAAACCATGTTTCTATTCATACTGCCACCTTATCTGAAATCACATATAAAAATAAAAATAACTATTAATCTCCAAAAACTAATCTGATTATGAAATCTGAGCTTGGTAACAAAAACTTTCTGGACAAGCACTTGGATTTCATAAGCAATAAAGAGAAACCTCATTTGTTGGGTGGGATCTTTTAACACGATTGTGCCAACCTCCGCTGTAGTGTTAGCACTGAGCCCGCTTTCTCCAGGGTGATTCACCTAAGAGCAAACACTGCTTTGCAGTGTCAGTCTTCTGTTCTCCTGCTCCTAAACCACCTGCTGTATTTTTCGGAGCTCAGAAATACAAACCTGACCATGGCATTCCCATTTAAAACCCTTTAGTGACGAGAGGATCAAGTCAAAATTATTCTACATGATTTACAAAACCCTCCATAATCTGGCTTGCTGTTTTGTTTTGCCCTAGAACAGGAGCAGGCCAGCCTTTTCTGTAGAGGGCCACATAGTAAATATTCCAGGCTTTGCAGGCCACAAAGTCTCTGTCACAACTGTGCAGCTTTGCTCCCTGCTGCTGTAGCATGGCCCTCCATAATCTGGCTTGCTGTTTTGTTTTGCCCTAGAACAGGAGCAGGCCAGCCTTTTCTGTAGAGGGCCACATAGTAAATATTTCAGGCTTTGCAGGCCACAAAGTCTCTGTCACAACTGTGCAGCTTTGCTCCCTGCTGCTGTAGGATGGAAGTGAACACAACATGTAAACACGCATGGCTGTGTTTCAAAGAAACTGAACTGCACCCAGTTTGGCACACAGGCTATAGTTTGCCAACTCCAAACTAGAACTAAACTCAATTTTTAAATCTGTCAGATGTCTTCTTAAAATTGGGCAAATGGGCCCTGGCCAGTTTGACTCAGCAGTTGGAGCGTCAGCCCGTGGACCAATGAGTCGTAGGTTCGATTCCGCTCGAGGGCATGTACCTCAGTTGTGGTTCGGCCCCAGCTCTGATTGGGGTTGTGCGAGAGGCAACCAGTCGATGTTTTTCTCTCTCTCTTCCTTTCTCTCCCTCCCACTCTGTCTGAACAAAAATAGAAAAATATCCTGGGGTGAGGATTAAAAAAAAAATTGGGCAAATGGAAATTGACCGTTCCGTGATGAACTATTTTTCTTTCAACAAAAAGGAGTCAGAATGTTCATGATGACCATTTTAATAACAAGGTGTTAACATACAGATTAATATAAACTTCAGATATCATGAAAACATGTTCCCCAAAATTCAGAAATAACTGTTATTAGTGAAACCAAAGTATTTTGGAGACTTCAACGCACTGGATGGAATTCTTCAAGAATTTCAGCATAAGTTTTCTTATCTATAAAAGGAAAGATCACAAAAGATTTATGTTTAAATTATGTTTGAAATCATTATTTCCTAAAGAATAAAATTAAAACTTAATATTCTTATAGATAGAAACCCCTAAAATTTCCTCCTTTTCTTGTCCTCAACCACGGTTTGGTGATCACTAAGATGTTCTGCTACACTGAATGAACTTGGAAGAATCTGTGGTGACTTCCAGATGGCTGCCTGGAGGGGCAATGTGCTGCCAGGGGGATCCTGGTTGAAGGAAGGAAGAACCGGGAGGGACACAGGTCAGCTGGAAGGGGCCCGGAGCTAGGTGGTCAAGCTCTCAATGCCAGTGTCATCAATGCATGAGGCTCTTGGCACACCTGCCAACAATCTGCAGTTAAGAGACAAAATGAGCCAGTGAGGCTATACACCCTCTTGTTTACAAAGGGGGCTAGTGGAAATATGAGGCAAAGAGCTAGAGGTCTGGGACTAAGGGCTGCTCTGCCATTGGGCCGCACTCTTAGGAATCAACATTCCCAGGACTCCTCCCAGCTCTAACATCCAGCAGTTCTGAGTAT